CAAGCCAAAAAACTTGCCATTCTCAAATGTTCGATCACTTGTATTATCGAAAATATGCAAATAAAAAAAAATTCCTCGGACACGTATCTCTTTTTTTTCGACATAGAATCCGTAAAAAAAGTTTCAGTCAAATCGAAGAGGTGCCGATTAATTTTCATCAAAATCCGTTCGGTTTGTAAAAGAATTACCCTTATATGTATTCGATTGTGTATGCGTAAGCGTATATGAGAAAAGTTTGCGATTTGAACGCCGCCTACTGAGCATCACCGATACCAAGAAAGATATTCAGAAATTTGATTTTGACTACACTTTTCAAAGCCTAGTCCGACCTCTTATTCTTTATATAGTCTCTCTAGTATTTCGATACTCCTGGCGCGATTCCGTAACTATCTTTATACGCCTATCGACGATCTTCTTCTCGTGCAACAAGCATCCTCCACCGTCCCTAAAGAACATGCAACTCGCAGATCAAGACTATATGTATGCGAATTATTGGACGGCCCGATCTCCATGAAGGAGTTGCAACAGTCGATTGTGGCAGCTAGAGGAGGGTCGGCCCTAGGCCTAACTTAATTAAATAAACTACTCCATGATTAAATATTAGGTGTAGTAAAAAGAAATCTATTATTTTTCCAATAGATGGCTTTAGTAATCTGTATCTCGCGTTGTATAAGTGCGATCGGGTTACGCCAAATGGCGTTAGAAAGATAAGATTTCGTACTAAAAAAACTTCTCAGACAGTTTTGTGATTGCTTGAGTCAGTATTGTTTGAGCGCGTGTCAAAGATGGACACCAACAAAGAGAAAATACGCCATATTTTACAGTTTTTCTTCGATAAAGGCGAAAACGCAAGCCAGGCGGCTGAAAATGTGAATAGTGTTTATGGTCCTGATACTGTAACAGTCAATATCGCGCAATTTTGGTTTCGTCGATTCCGTTCCGGTAATTTTGATGTCAAAGATGCACCACGCTCTGGAAGGCCAATTGTCGAAAATGTCGATAAAATAATGGAAATCGTCGAGTCCGACCGTCATGTAAGCACTGTTTCGATTGCCCAGGAGCTAAACATTGCACAAAAAACCGTTTGGAACCATTTAAATAAGGCTGGATACAAAAAGAAGCTCGATGTATGGGTGCCACACGAGTTAACGCAAAAAAACCTCATGGACCGAATTTCCATCTGCGAATCGCTGCTGAATCGCAACAAAATCGACCCATTTCTGAAGCGAATGGTTACTGGTGATGAAAAGTGAGTCACTTACGACAACGTCAAGCGAAAACGGTCGTGGTCGAATCGCGATGAGCCGGCGCAAACGGTGGCCAAGCCAGGATTGACGATCAGGAAGGTTTTGCTGTGTGTTTGGTGGGATTGGCAGGGAATCATCTACTATGAGCTGCT